TATAAAAATTGGGGGTCAATGGACTATCTGAAGAGCTATTTTGATTTTTAAAATGGCATGTTTTTGATCAAATTTGCATTATATTGCCCATAGCAGCACGCGCGGATTTTGAACTTTGACGCGCGCTCACGGCCTTATGAAAGGTCAAGAGTGACTGAAATTAATGTAAATTGTCATTTACGGTAAGAGGAATCTAAATCATGTAAAAAAAATTAAATTTGACTTTTTACGCGCGCTGTGAGCGCGCGCAACGCGCGCGGGGACACTTACGGACGGAAAATTTTGAAATGCTTAAAATGACCTGAAACGTGTGCAAACAAAATTTGGGACGAATTGGAGCATTTTAAAAATTTTAAGCGGGCGTACGTGCGCGTCGAGGTGCGCGCACGGATTTTGTTGACATTTTTAGTTGACCTTTGACCGGAAGTTGATGTATACTAAATATGGTTTATTTTTGATTACTCGTTATTGAGATATGATAATGACCTGATTTTTACAAAATGGCGCCTGGATGACGTCACGATGACCCCATGAACTTGAAAAAGGTTTCGGGAACTTCATATCATAGGGCCTGATGACTAGCAGAAATTTGAAGGAAATTGACCAGGTCGAGTTCGAGTAAACGTATACACAAAAAAAGTGTACGGAATAAATAAAAATAAATAAAGAAAGAATAAAGAATAAAGAATAAAGAATAAAGAAAGAAAATTCTAACGAAATCAATAGGTGATCTGTCATCGACAGACCACCTAATAAAGTACCTATGGTACCAGTGGTGTACCTTGTGGTACACCATTTGTTATAGAAAAAAATTTGAGGAACTATTATTATAAACTACATATTGAGATCTATTAGAAAGATTACTTTCAAACCAAGATGACAGTCAAATTTTAGTGTTGTTGTAGTTTCCGAGTGGTGAGTCAACACACTGATTACTGAGCTGGGAGACATTGCCAGGCATAGCGCCATAAATCGAAACTTAAAAAAAAAAAAAAAAAAAAAAAAAAATTTACTCTTTCGCCGCATAGGCCGCACCCCGAATTTTTGATATTTTCTCTTCCAAAAATACTGCGGCCTATACGCCGGCAAATACGGTATATCAAATGAAGTTCTCAACTTTCAAGATAACAGTACAAAATTATTTTAAATCGCATCAATACACCTGAAGATAGTATGACATGATTTTTCATTATAATATCTGTAGAGCTCTCACGGTATTGTTTGTGTATCGTTTACATTATTTATACTCCATCGTGTATTTCATCATCCCTTCTACAGTCGCTTTCTTGATGCTGTTTTCACATCAATTGTCACCTTCTGCTTTGATCGGGTTCCATTCAATCAATGAATATCAATAAAACATGAGAATAAACGCCCCACAACTTATAACGGGCATTATCTTCCTTTCTCCCGATGTATTACTACCAGTGGAACATTTACATCCCTTTGAATTCATTCACGACATCGCGATGGATTGAATTTCTATTTTTATCCGGGCTCATTATTTCAATCCTGCAAAAGTATTGTAAGAACATCTTCCCGTCATGAATACCTCAGCAGGCAGAGGGGTCTAATCTTGGGACGGTGAAAGCTTACAAAAGCTCCCGTCGTTGCCTAAAAATTGGGATGAAAAGGAGAGATCAAAACATATTGATCTGGTTGTGAATCCACGCAGACCTACGGTAAGAGATTAAGAATGTTATCTTCCTTTCAGTTTGGTGCCGTCCATTGTCGGCACAGCTGAGACCATAGACCGCCAGACTATATTTGATATCATGTAATATTAATGAACCTGAGCCAATCAAGCTGAACGTGCCGACAAAGACACCAAAGAAGAGCTGGCAATTCACCGGGGACTGTCTATTTTGAATGCTCTTAAAGGGATCCGGTAACTTTGTCTCAGATTCTGAAACAAAATTCTGGATTTAGCTCATGATGCAATGATAATTATAAACCTTTAGGTCAGTCAGGAACCCCATGACTTTTACAAGCCGATCGCTTGTCTGATTATCAAGATATTTATGATTGGAATTACAGATTTTGAAAACCGTTCACCTGACGGTTTTCATAACACTACAGTCTATTGGGGAAAACGAGTATGGTAAAACCGGTCACTCAAAGATTTTTACTTTTTTGAGGCACCTCTTGATCATTTTGAAGCGCAATTTTTTTTAGGGCTTCAATATTACACCATATCACAGACACTGATAACACGTACAGGTAGGGCCGTGTATCTCAGATTTAACATTGTTAAACGATCCCTTTAAAGGAAAGGATCCACTCTACAATATGAGTAGGTCTTGCTGCAAGGTTTCAGACTACAATCATATTAATGAATTTTAAACAATACAATTTTTTGTGAGATTGAGTAAATAATAATTTTGCAACTAGGTTTTTTGGCATATACTTGTAATACAATACATACTACTAACTCTTAAAAGTAAAATGCCAGAATCTTAAAAAGATTTGTCCAAGTATACTGGGAATAAGAATAAGAATATTATCTTTGTAGGGTGTGCATCACATAAGCAACTTGTGTTTTTTTATGATAGAAAGGGCAAAGACATAGATCTATTCCATTTCCATGAAAATACACTGTTTTGGAAAAATAAAAACAAGAATGAGAGAATAGGAAGGAGTTTGCTGCCCATTTAAGGTGTACCAATCGAAAGGGATCACTCTTCGTGGACATTCATAACTATTTCATTACAGATGTCCATTCCATTTCAACAGAGTTCCATTTCAATGATTTTTAACAACATACATGTAAATGCAGCTAAGAAGTCTAAGACGATCTCTCCTTTTTAAAGTCACCTTGTCGATAATCATATTCGATGCAAAGACAGAAAGGCTTACTTTATTCTTAGACTGCTCATCTAGATCAATAGCAAGACAATGCCATGAGTCTATTTTGGGGATTCCGAGAAAGTGGCCCAGGCTCTAACATTGGAACTGGATTAAAACTCCATGTACATGTAGCCATACTTGCAATTCAGATTATGGCATTCTGCCTCTCTAAATATTTGTGTTATGAAGGTAGGACCATATAAACTTCATGAAAAATATGACATAGCAGTGTATAGGTTGATTGCTATTTTTCTTTTTGTCTTTTTCGGATGAGTTCTTTCAGAACTTATAAAAAAGTGAGATTTCCTCAGCAACTGTTTCATAATTCTTACTTTTTTTCATCTTTTTCATAGTTTTCCCAAGCAATTGTTTTAGTTTACTTACTTTAGTAAAAAATCAAATATAACATCAACATGAATGTTGCTTAAGGTTTCTGTGACTTTCCCTCCCATCTCTCTTGTTTCTTGCAGAGGAACCAACAGGCCTTATTATGAAGACTGTAGAAAGCTTATCAACATACATGTATCTGTCACAAGAGGGCAGCATTTGTTATTTGCCCACGACATGCCTGATTCATTTTTGTGTAATTCATCATCCCTCCTTTTCTTTCTTCTTTCCCTTTACCCAAAATTCAGGAAGAATGCTTACATTTAAAAAAAAATTTTTAAAGGTAGGAGGTCCAGAGTTTCATCACAGTACAAAGACATTTCATATTGATCCAGATCCAGGGCTAATTCTGCAGTAGAAGTGTTTACATTTAATCAGAGCTTCCCTCAATTTTTTTATTCCCCTTCAACTTTATTTTTAAATACTGCAATTAAAATCTGAAATATGGCACTTAAAGTTTGTTGTTGAGACTTGAGAAACCTCAAATCAGCTATTCGGCACAAAATTGCATACCAAATTCATTTGCCATATGTTTGTACATTTATGAGGTCAAGTGCAGGTGTAGAATCAGTGAAAATGGGGTCAGATTGTAATTGTTTACTTTTTTGGCTCTTAGCTTTGAACTTGCAAATATATGATTTCTTTAAAAATGTCTTTGAACAAATATAATAATAAGTAACAGTTGAGCAATGACAAAGAAGTCCTTTTCAAGCCATTTTGCTAACAAAGAAATGATGTGCATATAATTTTTATGCAAACAATAAAAGCAGTCTAAGGCCATTGATGTAAGCTTCCAGAATACCAATTGCAAACAAGGTCAGTTTATTTCGACTATACAAAAGATTGATAAAATATTCAATCATTGAATAAAATGGAGGGTATCTGGCAGACATAAAGAGTTCACAAATTAGTTTCATAAGATGTTAATAGTTTATATTTCGGAGCCTGGAATCTAGTTGACTTAACCTTGTTCGTTCTCTAACCATTCATTGAAAAGTATGCGGAAATTCATTGTCTAGCGGTAATCCATTTAGGTCTGAATATTTGTTTGTTCTGATCAGATTTCTGACCTTAAAGACTTCATTTTCTCCAAGACGTCTTGTCAGGGAAACAAATCTCCTCGTCCTCCTTGACAAAGTTCAAGATGGGGTCAAGTTTGGTGGCCTACATGTCCCAATAAGTTCACAGATTTAGGTTTTGAGGGGGTGCAACTTGAATTCCAAAATGGTCTCCTGCATTCTTTATATTTTGTTTCATGTTATATTTTCTATTGTAGTTAATTCAAATAATGGGTATTGCTTATTTCAAGGTTAAATTTCATGTAACCATCTGAGAGTTTGGACTAATTTTTCATAAAACTGACAGCAATTATTTGAAAAAAATATGATACAGCTTTTGAATTTTGAAACATGTGAGAATCTTATGTATTGTAAAATTGCATCTGTACATCATACAGAGGTTATTCTTTAAACCATGACAAATATTTTTATTTGTCAAGTTAGTGTTTGCTACATCTGATAAACCTTTGATACTGTACATGTCCTCAAATTTTGTCTAGATTGTAATAAAGCATAAAATAAAGAAATTCCTTTTTCTTTCTCTGTTCAAAGGACCATCACATGTGTTTCTACTTTAATTCAACGTAATCATAACTTTTGAGAGACTGAAAAATGTGAATACCTGTTGTGATGCGGTAATGCATGATTGGCCCACACAAATGTGGCCCTCCGGAGCTAGGGTTAAGCGGTGAGAACATGTCTCAACAAGAAAAAATTGCTTTCAAAAGTCAAGAAAAGAAATTGATCTTGGCTCTAATATAAAGGGAGTGCAAGCTGAAGGAATGTTAATTGTTATTCAGCCTCCATTGAGATATAGAACGTCTTATTTTTTCAAACAAATGAAAAAGTAAGGAATTGCTTCAAACTCCAAGAAGTTGAAAGTGACCAGAATACAAAATATGCTAAGAAATGAATCCCTTCTTGCTTTATGATAAAGATATTAGGAATTCACTATTATCACACACACCAAACAATATTGTTGCTTATATATGGTATTCTCCTGAACATCAGAAGAAAAAAACTAAAGAGTATGTGTATTTTAGAAGAGGTATGGCCAAGTGGTATTACGTTGGTCTCAAAACTAGGAGGTTCCAGATTCAAAACAAACCCCATTACAACCACCACCATGAAATCCTTTCATAAGGCCTCAGCTGGAGTTTGCCAAACAACCCGCTATTTTCAGACTCTGGATATTATCCTGAAGCTCAAAAGTGCATCTTCACCAGACCAATACGCTAATCAAAAACTAGCTCGGACGGGCGCAAATTAGCCCGCTATTTCCTAAATAGCGGGACATTTAGGAAACAAGATCAATATTTCTCGGTATATTTTCTTGACCAAAGATCCCGCTAATTGCAACTGCGTGCTGAAGACGCAAATTAACTGGCTAACTTGCGATCGGGATAGTTAAAATAGCGGATGATTTGGCCAACTCGACCTGATGAGGACAGGCCTATTCTTGCCTTCAACAAGTTGGGTAAAATAATTCATCAATCAACCATCAACAAGGAATCAAGGAAATCTCACCTGAAGAGTGTCAGCGATAGGGAATGATGAGCCGTTCTTACCAACTGGATAGCTTCTACGTGCTTGTCGCAGGGTACTCCATTGATGCCTACAACCACATCATCAAGCTTTACATCTCCTGTGTGATGTACTTTACCTCCAGCTTCAATCTGTTGAAGAAAAAAATTTAAAAAGGTCTTTAAAATTGTGGAAAAGTATGTGTCAATTAAACGAGGGATATGATATACAGAGGCTTCAAATGCTGATCTTGTTTCTTGGATATGTAATAAAAATAGACGAGATTGGCTTTAGAAATCCAAGTGACATTACTGGTACTTGATAAACCTGAATACAAATTTTGATGATGCTTTCATACTTGAATAAAACCCATCAGTTCTATACATTAAAATTAGTCTTTTCATTTATGTACTGCATGAAATCTTTAAAATATTGGGTAAGAGTTTGCTCAGCACAAGGTTATCAGGCATCCAACCAACTTAGGGAATTTTCTTCACCCAACTTGAGTAATATATTTTCAGATTAGGATCAAAATGTTTAAAAATTACTTGAAAATGGGCAAAATATTAACCAAGCTGATTGGGGGGGGGGGGGGGGGATACATAATTACCCTGTTGAAACATCTTTTACCCAGTACTTTTAAGAGTGCAGGTAAAGTTGGATCATTAGGCAATGAGAACACATTCATGCACACATTCATGCACACAACTGACATGCACTATAACTTAACATATCAATTAAATTAAATTATCAATGACATATATTTTAATCTCCTTTTATCGTGTAATGTCCCTAAAAATGCATACAGTATATGCACAAAAATACAGATCAAATAAAGCTCCCTTTGTAATTATATTATAAGAGTAAATGAATTCCATTCCCTTCTTCCCTTGTAAAAAAAAGGAAGAAATAAGCTCTGGAAATATACATTCTGATGATAAATAATCTCATTTCTTTTCATATAGGCATACAAATTGAAATTCTACCACTATGCATACATGTACTTGCACCAGTATTTCTATTTCACACAAATTTGAAGGACATACACTTAACAAAGTGTTTCTTTTAACAAGATCATCCCTAAGCTGACTCAGCAGTTCAAATCTATAGATTTATTCTACAAATAGCAACATCAATTGAACTAGAAACCTATAGACCATAACTGCGGGAGTCCACATTTAGAACAGCCGCAATAGCGCACTTCCCACTGGGAAAACGCTTAAAAAAAGAAGGGGGTAACTGAAAGAGCTATTTATAAAGCAATCCATCTTCACACCTCCCCGCTTATACTTTTCTTACCCCTTAATACGCTAATCAATACACTGGACAATGCATATGTACGTCAATCCCTTTCTCTGGTATTAGAGAAGTTAAACTGCTAGCCATTGATCAAACCTTTTCATATTAAATCGTCTTTGACAGGATAGAAGAGAGGGTTTTTACAGGAATAGGGACTTCAGTCGAGTTTGTGAATAGATGCTTTTTCAAAAAATGCGAAGCAGGATGCTTGAGTGTGGAATAGAGTGTCACTTGAGGGAGAGAGTTATTGTCGGAAGATAGAGAACTGTTGTTAAACATGCATTATTGACCAAATAGTACTGTTCTTTGGTTACTAAGTGCTGTTGTTGTCATAATTAAAGAAGGAGTGGAGAAATATTTGGCTGTGGAGAAATATTTGGCTGTGGAAAGCTGAAACGGGTGCCTGGGAAAACATGAGAACTACTGCATGGAAAGCCCTTTTTTTCAATAGAAAATCCCCTAAACGAGCTCCTGTGAACAAAAGTGTAATTTAAAACACTGAGTCATAGTAAGGAATGTTTTACATCGAGTCATTGTAAGAAACATCTGAACTGAAAGGTAAAGGAGGATGGGAGTGTTCACAACCAGGGGCATCACTAAAAAGGGGGGTTGATGGGGTGTGACACCCCCCCCCATAATATATTTGTTTTACACAAATTCAACGTTTTATGGGCTGTCAAAAATTAAATCAAAATCAACCATTTTTGTTATTGCGTTGTGCCTGATAGGAAAAATGTGTTTATATATATGTCTGCAAATTTGAAAATCTGATGACCCTCTTTTATTTTTGTTTGCTCTTTGGAAAATTTTCAGCTACTTCTTTAGCAAGTTCAGTCTGAAATCTCTGCCCTCCCTTCTACCTCAATTCAACATTACCTAGCTATGCCCCCATTCCCAGTAGTACCCGTTGATCCTTGCATAACAAGGTGAAAAAAAGCCTGTCACTTTTCCTTTTCATCCTCGGCACAATGCTGTGCGAGACAATGGCGATTGGTAGACACAAACCAAATTACGCCACAATGAGAAAATGTCATGGGAAATGTAAATATGTCATTGAGATTGGCATCTCCTCGCATATTCCCACATACTTTTAGGTACACAAAAGAAACAGCAGGTATCCTATTTTAAGGCAAAGAGTCATTGGGAACACGTACAGGTGTATCAGGATGCATTTCGCTATTAACCCCCTCTGAGCCACCATGTTTTTGACAACTGTCATAAATGGACTCTCAAGATTAAAATTTTGACTTGAATTGGTTGGTTTGATTGATAAATTCAATCATCTTCCATGGATGATGGATACAGTGTCTTTTTTTGCATTGGATGTAACTAATTCAGATTCAGGAAGTACTTTGCACTTTGGCTCACAGCATGTTGCTATATTGGTTCAAATATATTGTTTAGCTCTCTTTCTTTTATAGGACAGAATTCGCAACCCATGGGACCTCCGTACGTAAGGGGTTAAAGGTCTTTTACATATATTATTAGCCATGAGGTTGTACATGTGACAAGTTTTTGCTGTGCAATACAAAAATCATGCTAAACGTTGGTCAACAGATCCGCTTTTGTATAATTGGAAATGTTAACACGTACACCCTACAGGGCAACAAAAGATATTCCAAGGTAAGCATACATGGCGTGACAGTGAAATTGGCATCATCACAATTTAGACATAGTTCCTTTGCATATAAATAGAAACATAGAAATATATTTCATCTAAAATAGAAACATGGAATAATCATTTACATCTCCTATCTGTCACTTTGAATTGTACATTTCAGGCTGTCAATCAATTCTCCATCTATTTTGACATATTGCTTTTCAAAGTTGAAAATATTTTCTGGTAATTTTATAGCAAGATTGCAAAGGTCTTTAAACTAACAGTGTACCTGTTTGGATTAACAATTTTTGCAAAATGAAGTAGTAATCATTCATGTGAAACATCACTTAATTCAGATTTCATGTAATTCAATCTACACATCCTCTGCTGATAGCAAGAAGGGTGTTAACTTTATAAACACAGATGCAATGCCCTTTTGGCTCACAGCATGTTGCTACATGTATATTCTTTAACATACATGTACATACATACTGTATGTAAAGGCTTTATTAAAGGTAATACAAAGTTTTGGGAAATTTTGAAAATTTGGTGGATAGCCATTTTTTTACAATTTTTATATATTTAGATGCCCCTGTGGATGTATTATATAATAAGCACTAGTAAATTCAGCCCCTAAGACACTTCTGCTTTCAAGAAAAATTGAATATAAAAATTTGATGAATTTCAAACAGTGCCTACATCCGTACAATGATAGCTGAAAATCTCAGAATATGTAGTTGTGATAAATAATTTCCAAACGGGAATAGCTAATCGGTCAATTTTAGTCAAGAAACATTGTTTTATAGCTTTATCAATATCTTGACCTTGAGAGGGAGCTATACACCATAAAGAGGTTATTATTTACAATTTCATAACTTTAGACTTGATTTCAACCACGACAACGATCACTGAATATTGTAGGATCGCATATGCTTCCAATATGTATTACCTTTAACTGATACAAACCATTCAATTCGTCACCAGTTATTTGGATTCTAATCAATATGAAATAAAGAAATGATATAACCCTCTTTATCAATTCATATGTAACATAATTTTTTATTTTTTTTTGGGGGGGGGGGGGTGGTGGTGAAAGGGCCAGTGAATCAAGCAAGCAGTGGCATGTTAAAAGCTTTATCAAAAGTTATAGTCAATGAATAACAATAAAAGAGAACAAATCAAAATTCATCTGCCAAATATTTCTCTCCTTAGGAGTTCATTGGAAATTAAAGAAAAAAGGATAAAAGAACAGGATGTTCTTTCTGGGTGTTTTTTAAGACGAAACAGACCTGGATATTGTTTCTATCTTTCTTCTTGTTTGTGTGTGCTCATCAATTTGTTTTCACATTTTGCATGCTTCATGTTATCTGGGCAAACAGTGTCGAGGACGGCACTTTCTATGGGCTAGGTGTTACCATAGGGTCATGTGATCTCTCGTGCAAATGTTTGCACATGCTCACGACACAAAGAGGGCACTTGTGTCTCAGATGGATGCAGAGAGAGGGAACGAACAAGAGGGAAAGAACGAGAAGGGAGAGAGTGAGAGGCAGAAGGAGTAAGTAAAAAGAAAGGGGTGAAGAAATGGAGAGAGACAGCTTTGGAAAGAAAGAAAGAAAAGATAGAGAGAGAGAGAGAGAGAGAGAGAGAGAGAGATAGAGAGAGAGACAGAGAGAGACAGAGATAGACAGACAGAGACAGACAGACAGAGACAGACAGACAGAGACAGACAGACAGAGACAGACATACATACATACAATTAAATGTATACAGGGGTGAATCTGTATTGTCTCAAATTCAAGAACTTATAATATGAAAGGCTTTCTGATGACTGTTAACAACTTATGTATCAATAATCGCTGATCTGCACATGCCCAGCAGCAAAATAACCCTCATTCACTTTCAGGGGAAAAATGGGGAAAGGAGAAAGGGTGTGAAAAAGGGCCCCCAAATTGATGATATACTTGAATATACTTGAGAATATAGGCCTTCTTAATGATAAACTTGAGTTACAGAAACCTTGGCTTGAGGTATGTAACAAGGACACTTGAACAAACAGCTAAGATCAATCGGTCGGACTAAGAGAACAAAAGGCAGAAGACAATTTACTTTGAGCGGTGCGAATTTCAAGGAAGTCTGAAAAGTTTTATTAAAAGGCTGTTTGTTATTACAGTTCATTGCTATTATTGCAACTGTTTGCCCCCATTCTTGATGCTTACTGGGCTGCCATATTAGTCACACCTTAATATACCAATT